CACTTAAAAAAAATATTGTCCACATATGCAACTTGCAACTGCGATCCCCTGTGCCGATTTAGAGTTTTATACCTTAACTTAGTACTTAGTTATAATACTTTTTATGTTTTCGGATAATGTCGTTTTGTGGGCAAGGGACGCGCATACCAAGATTCATCAGGAGAATTTCAACTATTCTCGTAATCCTGTTTGTTGTTGTTGTTGTTTTAACGGTTATCAGTCCCCGTTGGGATGATGAGGGTTATCAGTGTTGTCGTCGATGTCATCACTGATTGCTATTTTTAAATCACTGTGATTTCATATTGTTTGCGATCGCAACTAAGTCGACTATCAAAAGTAGACCTTTGTTTTTGTTGTTGTTGTTGTTGCCGATTTAACAGTGTTTGACCGAATAAAAGTCCGGGTCCGTTCCAGTTACGTAGACGTGACTGTCGTGGGAGCGACGGAAACCTTTTGTCGTTATTAGCGGCAAATTCTCTTTTGGGTCCTGTAACTCGAATCAAGTTTTTCCGCCTTTCTTTTCACTACATTTTCGCAAATGGATGTGGATCAACATTCTACTTCGAAATTAACTGTTAACAAAGAGTATTTAAATAAAAAAATTTGTAATTGTGGGGGAAATAACATTACAACCTGTATATAAAGACTTTAAAATTGTCTCTCGCAATTCAAGCACGTCGTAACCTAATGTTAAATATTCCTCCTAACGAAATTATTGAAAACCCTGTCTATATTCCAAACCCACTTAATCTTAAAGACAATACTACACAAGGGACGTGGTGAAAGACAACACTGCACGAATGCAACTGCTCCAAAACCAACCAAATGGAAGTGTTGAAACCAGAGAGCTGCAACGAGTATGATTAAATCAGAACAAACACTCGTGCTAAAAACACAAACAAATCAATTCTGCTCACAACATTGTTGATCAATTCAAGTAACCGCCAGCGCCAACTGGTGTGATGCAACACGAACAATCTGTTCTTCGGCAATCACGATCGAGAAACGGTATGGCTGGCTTCAGTTCAAACTGTATTATGTCAGCTCATAGAGTTGCGGCGATTGTTTGAACCGATGTGAAACTGCGGGTAAGCTATAAGTCAATTCACGAGTAAATCTACGAGTACAGCAAACAACAACAATTTTCTGTGGATTGGTTTGAATAATGTGTGGCAAAAAATGTTCGCATGTTACAAATTTTCAATGCGTGAGCAATGGGGATCAACCTTTTCATGTTTGAGCGCGCATAAAAAGTAAACGAATGAAGTAACTGACAAAACCTTTTTTCTTAAATATCTAGTTTATTTGTAACAATTAGCAAAATAGTGACAGAGGCAATGGCATAGTTATAATTCAAAAACACAAAAAACAAAAAACAGCATTTACTTAGCTTTGCACCATCCCTGAAAGCTAGGTTTGTGAAGCGCCACGTAAAAACTCTACCAAGGAAAGAAAGACAAGAAAGCTACGAACGAGAGACCTCCCCGTTTTGATAACTACCCCTGCAAATGTGTTGAGGACGTAAGGGCATGCAACTGTAATTCCACAAATTGAGAAGGAAGGTGCCACTGCCCAACTGGTTGATGCTAACATCACCGCCGTCCAAGAAATGCGATGGATGAGAGAAGGACTTGGGCGAGTAGGTCCTTGTAGAATTTATTACACGTCGCCGAGTACTATCATTCACACCGGTGGATGAACGTCTAGCCACAATCCGCATTAAATCGCAGTTCTTCAACATATCGCTGAGGTGCGCCCACGCCCCGGTGGAAAAGAAGGTTGATGTGACTAAAATGCATTTCAAGCCAATTGAACCGAAACCATTGGTTTGCGGAAAATACAGAAAAAAACTGCTGGTACGACGAGRAGTGCCTTGTCGCAGCGGAAAGAAAACCGACTACCTACATCGCAACGTTAAGATCGAACACAATACGTGCGGGATGGCATAGATACCGAGAGTTGAAGAGGGAAGCAAGACGCATTTGCAGACAGAAAAATAGTGAGGCCGAAATGGTAATATGAAGAGCTTGAAAAGCTGGCCGACAGGGAAGCATACTCTTGTATAACCCCCAGAGGCGATCAAGTGACTGATGCCCAGAGCATATTAAAATTATTGAGAGAACATTTCTCCAGCCTACTGAATGGCAGTGTCACGCCAGGAGAAGGCCAACCCGATCCTTAATCGATGACGATTGAGCAGACACGGCGGCGAAGAACTGATAAGGAGCATGTATCACATTCTTTGCAAAATATGGTCGGACGAACGCATTCCAATGATTGGAATTTAAGTGTGCTCTGCCCAATCCAGAAAAAGGGAGACAACATAATCTGCGCCAACTACTGTGGGTCAAGCCTCCTAAACATCGCGTATAAGGTTCTATCGGGCGTATTGTGTGAAAGATTAAAGCAAACCATCAACAAACTGATTGGATCTGGCAAATCAACAACTGAACAGCTATTCACCATGCGTCGAATCTTGGAAAAGATCCGTGAAAAGATAATCGACACTCACCACCTCCTCGTCCATTTCATAGTTGCCTTTGACAGCACGAAAAAGCGAATACGGCTGTGTAAGCTGACGTTGAGCAACACCAAAAGCTCCTTCAGGATCAAGATCAGGAATTACCTCTCCGAGCCGTTTGAAACCAAACGAGGTTTCAAACAAGGCGACTCTCCTTCGTGTGACTTCTTCAACATACTTCTGGAGAAAATAATTCGAGCTGCAGAACTAAATAGAGGAGGTACAATCTTCTATAAGAGTGTACAGCTGCTGGCGTATGCTGGTGATATTGATATCATTCCCTTAACAAACGCGCCATTAGTTCGGCTTTCTCCAGAATAAATAAGGCAGCGAAGCAAATGGGTCTGGTGGTGAATATCTTCTATCCCGCACCACTCAGTCATAACTTCGTTGTAGATAATTTCGTGTACCTGGGAACAAGGGTAAACACCACCAACAATGTCAGCCTCGAAATCCAATGCAGGATATCTCTTGCCAACAGGTGCTACTTCGGACTACGTAGGCAATTGAGAATGATGAGTCGACGTTGCGAGTTGCGAATATCGCATTCGATGGAACGATGAGCTGCGAATTAATACAGACAAATTGACAGCGGCTTCCCTGGCTAGATCATGTCGTACGAATGGAAGAAGAAGAAGTTCTACTCAAGAAGAAGAAGTTCTACTCAATTGCATATATACACTATTTTTAAGTCTCTAAAATTCTCAACGAATAAATTTTCTCTCGAATTGAAGTGCTATTGATGTTGATTCCACCAACTAATTAACCTTGGAAGAAAATGGAAAACAATTCAACTTTGAAACAGTGCACTTGAAATTTACCTAAAAGTTTCTACCTCACCAAAATAAAATGAACGTTGCCAATTAAATTTTCGTTAAAAGAATCGTTATATCCGTGCACGAAAGAAAATTACGTGATACGTCAATCGCATGCGGAAATTGACATACGATAGCAAACGGATCGTAATGTATTTTCAATTCACAATCGTTTTTAAAATGCACATTGCTTTGTATTTTCAAGTCACAATAGATATGTGAACTGTCAAAACTGTTACAAAATTTTCCATAAAGTAACAAAAGCTAATTAAATATCCAGATGGACCCAACTTTGTTTTCTTATTTGAGATCTAGTGAAAGTGATGGGGATAAAAAAATAGTGTATTTATTTCTCATAAAACCACGCTAAGGTCTAGGGTGCAGAGCCCCAAAAAATTTCAAGTCGCTCGCCGCATGAAGCAGAGCACACTTCTAGAATCATCAATATTTCTTTCCTTAACTACGTCGACGGCCAGACATGCTCTGACGACCATTCACAGTGGAACCTTTAAGGGATCGTCTCAGAATGACCCTCCGAAAAATCACTGATTTCGACTTTTTTTATGTTGAAATTAACTAATCGGTCCGATTTTTTTATAAATAAATAAATTTAAATCATTTTCTATTCAATACAATATATACCTATACGATGTCCACGATTGCGGCCGGAATTTTGATATAAAACAAAAATTTCAAAAAGATTACACTGGTGGACACATAATTTGAGACATGAAAATTCTTAGATCTTTTCAATTCAGGCACCCACTCCGGGACAAAAAACGTTACCAGTTTGATCCCCAAAAAGGTATTACTACCACCTTTGCATATTAAATTGGGTTTTTGTTAAGGCAATGGACAGAAATGGAAGTGAAGCAAAAAATATAGAGAACATATTTGTGTGTCCGCAAAAAAGATAACTAATGAAAGATGAAACATTTTAAGAAATGCTAAATGAAACTAAAATACAAGCGTTCCAAGTTCAAGTTCCATTAAAGGCGTTGTTAAAAATTTTCTTAGAAATGTGAAAGCTGACATTTGCAAAGAGCTTGTGACTGAAGTATTTACTGCCTATAAAAAAATGGGTCACTTTCTGGACTCTCATCTGGATTTTTCCCGAAAATTGAAGGGCCGTAAGTGACGAACATGGAGAACGTTTCCACCAAGACATCTCTGCTACGAGGATACGGTACCAAGGCAATGGGAATGCCAGTTGCTTCCAATTACTGCTGGAAATTGTTAAGCGATACTCTAAAAACAAAAAAGTATCTAATTTTTTTTTTCTGTCTTCTTTAGAGAGTGGAAACGCTTTTGAAAACTACCATTCTGAAAAAAAAAGGCGTTTAAAGATTAGAGTCACTATGTTCCAGAAAATGTTTATTACAGTGTATACTAACCGATAATGCAACAAAAACAACAAACAAACAAACAAATGCGCGTAAGTGGTAGTAATATGCCGGTGCCTATTTTTACTATGGATTCGGGGATTGCTATTCTAAAAGTAACCCGCTAATATTTTAAACTCAATGTAGTACATTTATAAAAAATATATTGTACAACTTACTTGTACAAATCCATTCTTCACCGCCAAATATGCGCCAACCCCTAATGCAGTTCCTAAAGGCAGAGAACGTTGAAAGAAAGATTCAGAGTTACATTCGCGCAATACTCTTATTTCGTCAGCAGAAAATTGGTAATTTGCCTAAAATATGGATATATAGACTTGTCCAATGATAGTTATTGTTTTACAATGCTTTTTACCAATGGATTTCGATCAGTCTGTTCACTTGATTGCTCCATTTCTCTCGGCACCAATTACGAAATTACTATATACGATACTATTGATGCTACCCACTTTTCCGTCTCCTAAGTTACTTATCCAGAAAAATTATTGATTTGAAATAGTGAACAAAACACGTTAACTATGCAAAACACTATGCAAGCAATTGTATATTTCATAACAATAATAGGTTTGCGATTATTATGAAGCATCTCGACAGGTAATAGATGTTGTCGAGAAAACTGTATTGCTACGACATTGCTAATTACGATCAAGAAATTGCTTAAAGTGTCCGTACACGACACACAAGTTCGTTCGATCGGTATGTGTGCGCATGCGGTTTACTCGTATATGGGCTTGTGCGCGTACCGATCCATGTTCCCGAAAATGTTTGATTTTTTACGATCGGTGTGCGCATATGTGTGTCGTGTCATTGCTCTCGTGTCGCCGAACAGTAAAGATCGCGGACGAACATTGCAATTGTGTTGTTGTTGTTGTTTTAACGGTTATCAGTCCCCGTTGGGATGGTGATAGCCATCTGTGTTGTCGTCGATGTCATCTAACGGGAG